TATGTCATCAAGTTGTTCAAGGACAACTGGGTAAGGGACTTTGGTTTACCAAAGACCATCATTAGTGACCGAGACGTCCGCTTCACAAGTGAACTGTGGAAGAAGACTGCAGAACAGATGGGCAGTCAACTTCAAATGACTTCAGGGAATCATCCCGAAGCCAACGGACAAGCCAAACAAATGAACAGAGTGGTACAGCACTTGCTGCGGCATTATATCAAGCCCAACCAAGATGATTGGGATGAGCAGTTGCCTCTCATCTCCAGCTTGTACAACAATGTTATTCATAGTAGTACCCGCGTTAGTCCTAACCAGTTACACTTGGGATGGAAGCCTAGATCAACACTAGACTTCCTCCTACCTGAAAACCGACCTGCTGCAACTCCAGGCACACTTGAATACGGTGTGCAATATGAGAAGTTGCTGCGAGAGGCTGTTGAACATATGAAGAAAGCTCAACAAGCCATGATTGCTTCTGAGAATCAACATCGCAGACAGTCCACATTTCAGGTAGGGGAACGTGTCTGGGTCAAGACTAGTGAGTTAGGACAGGAGTTCGGAATATCTCGTAAACTAATGCCTCAATACTTTGGTCCCTGGGAAGTCTTGGATGTAGTGGGAGATGAAATGGATGGTCCTACATACGTCATTCGTATCCCTGGTCATCTACGCACTCACCCAGTTTTTCATGCCTCAAAGCTTGCACCTTTCGCTGAGACAAATCAATTCCCTTCCAGGAGATCGATGCTGCCCCCAACCATGGATGGTCAAGTTGACATCGACGACATTGTGGATCACAGGGACATGCCTGTTCCAAAGCCGCTGGGCCGAGGAAGACCTCCCAAGCCCAAGAGAGAGTACCGCGTCAGATTCAGGCATCACACGGATTCAAAAGAAGATCGTTGGTTTTCCAGGAAGGAACTGATTGACACAGCTCCTCAGGTGGTGGCAGACTATGAAAAGAAACTGAAAGGGAAGGCGCCTGCGAAGTAAGCATCTCAGCGGACTTTCGAAGCTAAGGGGGATGGAATGTGAGGATTGAGCCCTCATCTAGGGGCCTTGCCACGATGAACATGTTCTGGGCTAAGGCCCCAGCAAGCCTAGTGCCTGCCCTAAGTGAAGGCGGGCCAGCAAATCGACAAAAGCCCTCTGGGCAACATTTCACGAATTGGGGTCCATACAGTTGCAGCACGCAGTTGGTTGGAGTGCACCGAGTCTCTGATTTCAGCAAATGCTGAAAGCCCAGGGCCTCTGCGTTGGTTAGGCCCTGGGCATCTGAACGTGAGGCCGACAATGCATGCTGGGAAGAGAGGCCAAAAATGCCAAAGGGAAATCGGCCCACTGTCTGAATCTGGGCGCAGGCCTGGATGAAGGAGGCGCAACTGCCTTACCCCGGGGCCCAACTGTATCAAGTTGGCTTCAGCCTCTGGGCCCCGGTCACAGGCTGAAGAGAGGCCGCCCACATGCTGCACTGGCATATAGGCAAGCAGGGCGAGGCAGGATATACTTGGCCAATGCTGGCATATGCGGGCACGCTGCGCAGATGCAAGTGTGCTGTGCTAATGCAGAGCAGCGCTGCGCTAAGAAGAAGCAGGGCAGCGCTAGGCGGTAGGGCGCTGCCTGCTTGCAGAGCACTGGCGGCCATAGCCGGGCCGCATGAGGGTGCAGGGGAGGTGAGGGCGAAGGTGGTACTTCGGAGGTGAAGGGCGCTGTGTGG